CCCGGTAACCAGTACTGCATTTAATTATAGTAGAGCATCTTTCTAGAACCAAACAATCCAGGTGTTTTGGATGATACTAACAGATCCTGCCTCCAGCCCCTGCCTGTGGAATGATTCTCTGTACTGTGGCAATGATAAACCCATAGAAGATCCCATGTGAAAGGGATCCCAAGTGATCTTGAGCCCCAAAGACAGATAGAAAGCCTATGTACACAGAGCCCTGTTTATATATAAGCTATATAAGTGGAGATGGGGCCAGTAGGCACAGTCTCACCATCCTCTTCTCACTGCCTTTATGTATTGTATCAATAAATCTCAGAAGAAAAAAAGAGAACTTAATTCTCTGAAGCACAACAGCAACTTTTATTATGCTCATGCGCTCCAGGATGACTCTTTGGTCAGAATGAATATTTCTGTAAGCTGTTGCTCTTAACATTATAAAGCAGTGCTTCATCTTCATAATCTACATATCAAAATAAATTACACACTTTTCCCCTTAACTGAATGTTAAACATTGTGCAGCAATAGCATAGAAGGGTCACATAAACCTTAGCTTGCCCAAATTACTTGGGTTTAAATTTCGTGATGAGGTCATTCTTTTGTCACAACAGTGTGCTACTACTATAGGGCATACTGGGTAGCTTCCTAGTATTCAGCATTGTTCAGAACTTGAAAGTAGTTACAGAAAACTAATTACTTGTAAATAATTTATTTTCCCAACAACCAAGGCATAACTATATCAGATTAAGACTAACAGATTATGATTGAAATAATAAAAGATAACTTTACCCATTTTGCAATGTAACTACAACTTTCAGTTACTTTTACAGTTAAATGAAAGAGGAGGAATATCAAATGCTTCAAATGTTGACTGGTAGTTTGTTATAGGAATTGAGGCTGTGACAAAGTGGCTGATATGAGAGTATGTTCTGCATCACAAGCTACATTTCCAAGGTGTATTTTGTTAAACTATTTTAGTTATTTTTTTAAAAAAAACTCAATGGTTCCTTATAAATTTAGATTTACAATCACAAAATCATTCCCTCCAATGTAAGGAATGGGAAGCTCACTGTTAGTGAATATGTACATGTAACAGAAGAATTCTAGGAACAGAAAGGGAAAGAGATAATTTTCCTTAGAAAAGCAATAGAAGAAAAATACAAAATTGTGCTTTGTTTATGTCATGTGTTGTCTTGCAACTTTTAACAAATCTACAGCAAATCTGTTCAATTTGAGAAACACCAGAATGGCCCACCAGTCGGCTGAATAAATCTTTTTACAGTTCTCACAAACAGCAAAAACAAGGGCATTCCCAAGTAAGGAGGCAGGCTTGTCTGCTTTCAGCCAAGGTATCAGTAGGTATATGCATTCAGCCTGGGCAAATCTGTAGCCAGTACTGTAGAATGGTGAGTCAACACGTAGGTAAATCCCAAAAGGTTTTATGACAAAAGATTGTAAGCAAGTTCAGAAATCCTAGATATGTATACATTCTTAACAATCTCAGAAGTAGGCTCCACTTAAACCAGTGCATTTCATATCAAAATAGATGTTATTAAAAGAAGAAAGATAAAAGATTTTCCCATCCTTAAAATATTAAGCCAGGCCACACATAAGAAAGAGCCATTTTATGTAGCATTTTATGACCTTGGAATAGAAAAATAAGAACTAGATTTGCTGGTGCCAGACACTGATCTGGCATGCAATGCAATGTTTACTTATACTGTAATTCTCTTGTGATTAATACTGTGTGCTGACCTCAAGGTGCCTGCAGTGTTTGGCAAAATAATTAATATTTGTAGAAGCCAAAAGTAGGTTTTGTAAACAATAGGAACAAAGAAAGAGCTAAGAAGATCATCCACCTTGTCCAGGATCAATGACAGTGTTGAAAATATACTATGTTAAGTTGATGTAGATTTACTAGGGAAACTTAATTGGGGTTATTCTGATTAAAATTATTTTTTTTAAAAAAATGCATTCTGTACCCAAGAAGTGCAACTGATTTTCACAATTTAAAAGTCCATGAACATGGGGGGGAAATGTCATACCTGGTGATCATGGTATATTTACTCTACTTCAACACAGAGTAATACATGTCACCTGTTTCTGTAAGTGTTTTTCCCTCAGCCAACCCAACTTGTCTGTTCTGGGTGCCTTGAGTCCACAGGATACCTCTACATAGGGGTTACATTTCAGTAAGGAGCATATAAAGGGTATAGGCAAAGGGTAAAATGTATGTAGGCTCAGTTCACATATTGGTCTTTGGACTTTATGTGTGAAGTGTCAATTGTGCGGTTCAAATCCATAATAGGATGTGCATGCATCCTAATCTTTACACTGTACAAAATCAGGCATCTGATGGTCTCTGAGATAATACAGATGTGATTTCAGTCTCACACTATACGTGGTCTATGAAATATCATATGAAAGGGGGGAGGCTCTGAGATTCTAGACACATTTTCTTATCATGAGCCTTGCGGATTTTGGCTATTTTCAGAATGGAGAAATGAAGCCAGATATTATGAACTGTTACATATATGGTGAGTACTTCAGTTATACAGAAAAAATCCAGTAAGCCCTAAGAATCTCTCTGAGGGCAAGAAAATCCCATCTGCATGTGGCACAGTGTTCACAAAGACAAACCAAACCAACCATACACAAAGTAATGCAGAGGTGGGAAGGCAAGGGGGCTGCACTGTCCTCCAGGAGATCTTGGGACTGCACCCTTACAACCATATACATATATACATACATACATACATACATACATACATACATACATAAGTTCAGTTCAAAAATGGCTTTTCCTGGGTCTATGGGAGGGGGGGCAGAAGGAAGCATGAAGGAAATGCACACACCCTACAGGACAATAGGAGAGGGGAAAAATTAATCGCCCCTTGGGAGCCACAAAAATGGCCCAGGGGACCAGACGTACCCCTGAAATAAAAGCCTGACTTCAAAATACTGTCAATAACTAATAGTGTGAAAAACTATCTCTCCTTATAGAAAATCCTCAACTTTCATTTCTACAAGGTTTGCAAGATAATGCAGAAAATGCTATTGAGACATTTTAAATTCTACAGGGATAACAACTATATATTTGCTCAATTCTAACATAGTATTATTATACAACTGTCAATGTCATTCTGTCACACGACCTGGCTCTCTTCATCTACAAGCTGATATTTTAGGATACTCAGAAGAGCCCTTGAAAAGTGCTCCAGAGCTTACACAATGTCCAGCCCCTTATTAATGCAGAGATGCTGTATTAAGTAAAATCACCAGAGTTATTTCTGAAGAGTATGTTTTTAAAGAGAAAGAGAATGTACATGTAAAGCCGGGGAACATAAGTAGTGACAAGTGAATATCTTTTTAACATTTTCATCAATAACAAGAACAGGTTTTTTAACAGTTGCATCAGTTGTCAGACCACAAGAGGAGGCTGCAAACACACAAACCATTTATTAAGCCCTCCTACAACGCAGAAACAAAACACTTCTTGAAGACAGAGTAAGCAGTACAAGCCTTTGCCATCACGCCGAATGAGGTCCATAAAGGCATGCTGCAGAGCACACCATTTCTATCTACTCTCAGCTAAAAGATCCAGCAACAAACTATGGCTTGTTGTTATGTGAATAAGCAATCACATGCTTCCTCTTCTCTTAACGTCACAAACCCTTGTCTGTCTAATTTAAGGCAAACCATAGTTTTAGCTAAACCCTGATTTCCTATTATGGACTGCATGGCAAGTCAGTGCAAACTACTCTTGGCTCAAGAGAATGGCAAACTAGGATCTGACTCAAGCCAGAAGTTGAGGGTGAAATTTGACATGCACAATAAGCACAAACACTCAGAGTTCAAGGTAGTCCATACTTTGGAGTGTCACTGTGTTTGGACTATCCTTTTGTTTGCAAAGAGGACAATATGATATCAAAGAATTCTGATTTTATTATTTCAGCATACCTGGAAAAGCAGTGAGAATTCTGTGGCCCTCCCAATCTTGTTGGACTGCAACTCCCAGCCCTTCCCAGGGCTGCTGGGAGTTGTAGTCCAATATCACTGCTGCCCTATTCCCATTCCTGCCCTATAGGGCCATAAACTATTTTGATCATGAAAATTAAAGTGAATTACAATTAAAACATTAGATGTTTTCATTTTTCTATTTCAAATGTCCTGCCCTGCCTTCTTTTTGTAATAAACCACAAAAACTTTTTTCCATTAAGTATACTGTAGACTTACTATCTACCTGAACAATTTTTAAGCATTCTGATGAGTTACCATGACTCAGGTGTGAGAATCCAAAAACCACAGGTCAGGTAAACAATTCCCTTCACAATACAGTTAACGCGGAAGATTTTTTAGGTCTATTACATGAAGAAGAACTTTGCTTTAGTATAAACATTTAACCACTAAGATTTCTTACCATGATTTAGCTGTGACACTTCCCCACCTCATCTCCCAAGAAAAAAAAAATTGTGGAGAGAATACCCAAGAGAAAGTTACCAACCCATAAGCCCAGAGAAGAGGTTATTCCTTTAAACAAAAATTAAAATTGGATTTGCAGATAAAAACAAAATATCCCAGTTTAAAACCTGAAACCTGGGACATGGGCATGGGTTTAAAAAGGTGGAGAAGTACTGCTCTAAGCCTGAAAAACTATAAAATTATAATCTACTACCTTTTGAGCATGAAAAAGTGTTGAAAAAATTCCAAAGCATATTCAGCTATTATTCTATATTTTGTGTATTTTCTAGCAAAGCTAAAATAGCATTTGATACACTAAGTGCAATTGTCAATGGATTTAAACGATAAACACTGCAGGCATTTTCACACAAGGCATTTTTCAACATGAGAGGCAAAAGTGCACACCACAGTGCATAAAGTGTACCTTGCATGCGCTGTGTGTCCTTAAGACATTTCCGACTTATGGTGACCCTAAGGGTGTTTTGGGGGGGGGGGGGGTTGGCAATATTTGCTTGGAGGAGGTCACCCACTGGTTTTCATGGCTGAGTGGGAATCAAACCCTGGTCTCCAGAGTTGTAGTCCAATGTTCAAACCACTACACTACACTGGCTCCTTACTTTGCTATAACAGAGAGTATGAGGATACGGCTGATTATCCAGGGCGGAGAAGGCAGTGTCCAGTTCCAAAGGAAGAGAAGCCTCCGCCCACACACACCCCACAACATGTAAATAACTTCCTGCCTTTGTGGCAAGCAGGTAGACATTGACAATGGCTTCCCATCTGACAAAAAGAGACAGCAGCAGCAGTAGCAAAAGCCAGCTCTCCAGGAAATGGGGTAGGATTTCAGAGGCACCTCTTGTGGGTCACCACATTTTAGCACAAACATCTACAGAGGGACAGTCCTTCACAGCACCGTTATTTTCTTGCCCAAGCAATCTTAGGATGGTCTGTCATCCTAATGCTTTCTGGGTTCTTGCTTCACATGCAGAGGCCTCAGCTAATCCAGCACCCAGGCTTCCAGCATCTATCCATAGAATAGGTGTGCATTCAGTTTTTCCACATGGTGAAATCCCCTACCTCTAGCTCCAACAAGTTTTAAGAACTGTATTTACCAATGGTGTTTAATTCTCCCCCACCTCCCAACACACACCATATCTATATCTATATCTATATCTATATATCTATATCTATATCATATAGATATTAACAGGACTACACTCATCCCTCCTCATTTGTGGCTTTGACTTTTGCGGATTTGATTATTCACGAATTTTATTAATATGTTCTCTCTAGGAATCTCTAGATCCTCCAGCGCAACTCTATGGTCAACTATAACCAAAAGTCACACTGAAGGCCCTAGAGATTCCTAGAGAGAACACTCTACTAGGCATTTGTAGCTCCTCCAGTGCAAGTCTATGGTCAATATCTGGCAGATGTTGACCACAGAGTTGCACTGGAGGACCTAGAGATTCCTAAAGAGGTGTTTTCTCAGGTAAAAAACATAGTGGTTTTGTTATTGGCGTTTTTTCCACTTTCATGGGGGTCCTGTACCCCTAACCCCAGCAAATGTGGAGGGGTGAGTTTACTAGATCTAGGATCATGTGCACTTGCCTCCAGAATCCCCTCCTATTCCCTACCACCCACAAGGACTAAACATGGCATCCTCAGCATACACTTAAAATGTTTGCCAGTTCCAACCCAAATTTTTGCTGAGCTTTATCACTCAGTGTATGACCCATCATTTCATGAGAACATACACCTGTGGGTGATTGGAGTGCAGTTATTTATTTATTTATTTATTTATTTTGTAATTGTCAGTTAGGACTTTTTAAATGTCCTTACACCCCAAAGCCTGTAGGCAACAGATGCATCGCACAAATGTTATTGCACTACAATATTTCCTTGTGTGTGTATGTAGCAATAGTAATAGTAGTAGGTATCTGTAGATATACTGGCCTAAATGAGGGGTGGGCAAATTACAGCACCAGAAAACCTGAGTGTACGGGCCACACTGTATGGGAGGAAGCCATCTTATGTTTCAGTTTTAAATTTCTATTAAGAGAAGTCAAACAAACCAGCTTCTACTGAGACCAACAGTATGCAAACATTTCAAACAATAAGGCAATAAATCATAACAATGAACTGAAAGAAAATAGGCATTTTAAAGAATTAATAACAATGGCCTGTTTCTACTTGTTAATCCCAACCAGAGTAGATCACTGAATCAACTGAACTGACATAGGGGGGTTGCAGACTGCCAGAAATAGTGCAAATTGAGTCCACTTTTAGGGTTAGGGTTAGGCTAAGGGAATCATGGGAACTGTATTTTATTGTGGCACCAGAACTCTCTGACAGAGAAGACTCAATGTCTCAGAGAAAAAACAATTCCCATAATTCCCTAGCACTAACCCTAACCCTAAAAGTGGAGTCAATTTGCACTATTTCTGGCAGTCTGCAACCCCCCATAGTGCTGATCTACAATGGGGGAGAGCTGAAATACTGGCCAGTAAAAACAAGCCTCTGGACTATTTCTCCTCCTTTTAAAGAAGCTAGGGTAGTAGACTAG